AAGCTTTTTCAAAACAATCATATATATATAATTATGTGTTTTTTAATCAAAACTTTTCTTTAATATTTTTCCAGTATAAATTTGAAATAAAAGTGTTTTTTTTTTCTTCACCTTTTGCAGATGCAGTAGTTAGAACTGTGTATCATAAATATCACCACCCAAAGGAAGTGATGGTATCCAATGGTGTGCTCAACAGATCAATAACCTTAGCTGCTGGGAAAAGTATTCCGGGTCAGAATCTTACTGAATCAAATAATGCACAGTATGTTAATTATTATTATTTTCTTTTCAGTATTTAATTTATAATTGAAAATCTTTAGACATACTATGTAATTACACTAAAAAAATCTCATGATTTGAATGAATGTATTTATTCCTTTGGATATGTTTTTTAAATCTCTGTTAAGATAGTTACATGGGATTCTTTAATAATATTGATGTATAAGACTAAGCAACTTTTATTTTCTTTACCAGATCTCATTTTTAAAATTCTGTTGTCAAATAAAAAAAAAAATTTTTAAAAAAAAAATGTTTTCTTTCAGATTTTTTTCCCCATGTTTATTTTGTGTTTATTACATTGATTAATCTGTGTATGCAAAGAGTTCTGGTAATTACACTTATTTAGAATTGTTGACATTTAAATTTTTTGCATAAAACTTTTTGTCCTTATGTGTTTTGTTTGTTGTTTTCATGTGTGTTCAATTTTCATATTATGTATAATTTTTTTCACATAACCAGTTAATGTTCAATGTAAATAAAAGTATTTTAATGCAAAGTACTGCATTAGAAGATATATATAATGCAAATCTATAATCCAAAATTCTTCATAAATTGCATTTGTATAAAAATAATAAATATATATATATATATATATTTATTTATCTATTTTTTTTGTGTGATATCGGTTTTTAAAAGTGACTTAAACTAGTTGTCCATGAAAGAGTCTAAAGAAAAACAGAAAGTTGAAGCTGTAAAAAATTCCTTTCTCAAGTTAAATTTTTTTTTTCATGCTTGGTAAACAAATCTTCTTATACCATTAAAATGTTGCTGCTAATTCAACTATGATATGTCATTCCATTATGCTCTAACCTTTGCAAAGTGTCAATCTAAATTTTATTACAGCTCAAAATTCTACTTAATTGATAAATGAATTCAACTTTAATGAACAAGCCATTAAATGGTATTTTTTGAAGTATACAGCAAATGTGAATGAATTATTAAACACAGAGCAATATTTTTTATTGATGCCATTATCTATGTGATTGGTTATGCTATTCCACAATAATACAACTTTAGGAACAAATAAAACTTTAAAAGTTAAGTCTTTAAATAGTGCTTGAAATACTGAAATTTCAGTAAGTACTTTAAATGAAAAAACGAAAACAAACAATGCTTAGATCTCAAAAGTGACTTTAATTTTACTTAGGAATGTAAAAAGATTAAACTGTAAGTTAATTGAAAACATTACTTTTGGTGCAAGTGATGCTTTTTTTTAACAAATATTTTTTACACTTATTGTTGATAAAAAAATTTTTTTCTTTGGATGTCCATAATAATCAAGATCTGTTATATATAATAATAACATGCAACTTTATAATACAATTGAGTATAAAGAAAGAAATTTAAAAAAAGAAGAAATTTAATTAATATTAATTAGTAAGAAATTTAAAAAAAAAATTACCATTTTTAAATAATGAAGTAGATTATATTTTATTAAAAATTTTACTATGACTCTGTTTTGTTATAAATCTTTTTTGTTTTATTTATTTTTTCTTTAGAGCATTGTCTTTTCTTTACCCTTATGGAGCTACTTTGAATGTTGCTAAACCAGCAGTTGCAGTCCTTTCATCTGGAAGTGTTTCTTTTCCTCTCAACCGTCCTGTTTGTGCCTTTTATCAGCATCCTGTAAGCTCAGTTTTTGTAACAGCCTTTCAGGAAATATATTTAATTTGTCAGTATAATTTAAAAAGCAACGTTTTCATTTTATCAAGTTGTGAAATGCTTTTAATCTAATTGGACTAGCTGAGAAGATAAAGGTTATAGGTGACATTTTTGCAAAAAAATTAGATTTCAGAGAGAGATCCTGTTTTAGTCTCTCTTACGGTTCACAAGGCTGAACATATTTACGAACTGCATTTACCAGGTAACATATTTGGAGAATTATATTTACAGGATGCATGTTTAAGGGATAGATCAATTAGAAATGGTTTTGTTTTTATGGCTACCGAGGCCGGTACACCCTGAAGACGTCGGCTTCGGTGGTTATATTTTTATTTTTATTTCCTTCGTTTTCTTCATATTTAAGAGATAGCTTATACACGGGCCCAGGTCAAAATTCCCTGCTGGTTTTATCTTTAAAATGCATGCTATTTTTCATAATTTTTAAGCTTTTTCAAAACAATCGTTTAGTTGTGATTCTTGAAATGTCAATTTTCATAAACATACTAAAATATTAATTAAAATTTTTTTGGGCTTATTTTAGCAGAAAATGAAATGTTTGCTGGTTTTTATTTTTATTAATATGTACTAATTGGGAAAAAATATTTTGCTATTATTGTAGAACATTGAAGGCATATATTAATATATATATAACAAATCCTCTGCAATTTAAAAAAAAAATATCTATATACAGTATTTTCTTTCTTCTAAGGAATTGCAACCAGGCCTTCAACATTTCTGGGACAATTGTTCCTGTCTCTCTCACCCTTGACTTGAGCCTTTGCTATATAAAATTAATTTATTTTGCTTGAGTTTTTTTGTTTGAAGATCATAGTGGAAGAATGATTTAAGTGCATTTGGCACTGAACTGGCAGAACTTAGAATGGCAGAACTGACACTTAGAAAACTGGCAGAAAATTGAAACACCAAGAATCCAAATTCCATGAAACAAACAGTTAATTGAGTTTTTGGAATTCAGAAATTTCACTAATTTGAAGCTTATAAACAAAAAATTACAACAAGCCATGGTCTCCAATTCCTATTATCAATAGCCTATTTACTTAAATTCACTAAAATGTCTCTTAGATTGTTCATCCTCTCTACTCTTCAATTACGTCTACAACTTCATACACAATAATTATTTGTTATTATTACACTTTGGTTAAATCAATCATTATTTGAAAGATTTTTAAGCTGCATGAATGTTTTATGCAATAGGACATTCTTATAACACAAAGGTAGACACCATCAATTTAAGATTTTATTTGTCTTTACTAATGGTAGTTTGTGAATTTAAACCTGTTTGTTATATATAAATCTAATTTGTTTTGTAGACGTCCAGTGGAAAAATAGTTGTTCTTGGATCTACTCATATGTTCTGTGATACTTATATAGATTATGAAGAAAATTTAAAAATTGTGGTAAGTTCATGCTTTTATGAGAAAAGAAAAATATGTTTTAAATAAATAAGTGTTGTGTGTATGACAAAAACTGTTTAATTAATTAATTGTTTAATTTTTTTTTGTTTGCTTTAAATATTTTTAACAGTACATTAAAATCTCGATTTATAGTTTCTCATGGGACCATTCATTGTGAATTATAGATACAGGACTATGAATTAGGTCAACATAAAATAGTTATGTCTTGAAAATGTATAAGAAGTAATATAGAAGTTTTTCACTTGTAGAAGTTTTTCACTTATAGAAGTTTTTCACTTATAGAAGTTTTTCACTTATAAAACTAATTTACTTCCTTTAATCTCAGTTCAGAATAAATGCTTCAAGATTATTAATTCTCTAAATATGAATAATTCAAGTATAACTACTACTAATATATATACAAGAATTAACTTATTACCATTTCGCCATAATGTATTTTTTCATATTTTACTTTATTTACACAACAATAAATTAATATGCAAATTAAAAACTAATGTGTCTGAAAGGAGACCAACTATATAAGATTCCCCACTTTATAAAAGAAATTTCACGAAAACAGTTTTTTGACTTAGCACCTAAATTATATAATAAATTACCATTCCAGTTGCAAAACATCCAAATATATTCTTCTTTTAAGCGTGGTTTATTTCAATTTATGATGAACATTGACAATTTAGATCTCTATTTTTCAGTTTAAAGGAAGCATTTGATTTTTTATACCAGTCTTGTGCCTATCCAAATGAATTTCTTATGTTACCTTTGTTATTTTTTTATATAGTTTCATGTATTTTTTTTCTATTATTACAGTGTTCAACAATACATGATGTCTTATGATGAGCAAAATAATTTATGATTGTAATATCCCCTCTTTTTTTTATTTTTAAATTTCTAATTTAGATTTATTGTATTACTTTTCTTTGTCGCCTGGACAGGATTTTCCTCTTGACGACGAATATATATTCTTTGTATTTATGTGTTTGTTTTTGTTCCCAATAAAGTTATATTAGTTTGTTACTATATATATTTAAAAAAAAATATTGAAAAAATTATGCCCATAATACAAAAATACTTACCAACACCAAAAAATGAACACATTTATTTAAAATATTCTAAAATTTTGTTTTGAATGCAATATTTTCTTCTTAGTGCAAAAAAAATTTAAAAAAATAAATGACATTTATAACATATTATTGTTATTGTACACTGTTATGAATACAGAATGTTGCTCATTGTTTCAAAAGTTATAAATTCTTCTACAAATGTTGGCATTGGTTGTGGTTTTTTCTTCCGAGCTTCACCAATATCATTTTCACACTTTGCATTTCTTCAGCTTTCGAAACCGTTTCATGAAAGTAATGAATCCTTTTTTTCTTCATCATTATAATCAGGAATTAATATTTTTTTTCTCAAAAAGAAAAAAAAAACCATTGATATTTTTAGGCTGAATTTTTGAACGATATAAAAGAGGATTGACTAGTTTAAAAAACGATCTAAATGGGTAATATTAATGTTATAAGAGTGGTATTTGTAATGGGACCCTTTAAACAAATGTGGGAATGAGGAATCAAGGTTTGAATGTATTAATTTGCTGTGAGTAAATTGATGACTGAAAAAGAATAATATAATTTATATGTTAATTAAAAAAATGGTTTAAAATTTTTGTATTTTGTTAATTTAATGCAGATACAAGAGTGAAATGTGTATAATTTTAAATTATTTGATTTCAACATGAATTATTTAGCATTTTAAGCATTTATAATATAGAGAGATAACATTATTTTCCTAAATGCAGTGCTTAAATTTAGAAAGTAATTAGCTTTTAATGCATATTGTATTGATAATCATAATGTAAATTATCACTGTAAGAAATCGAACAAAATTTTTATTTTATTTTAAAAAACTATATTATTTCTGCTTGTTTACTTCTGTTCATTATTATGAGCAATAAAAACTGGTAAAATTTAAGTGGTAATTTTCACAAAAAAATTTAGCTAATTATTTTATTTTTATTAATTCTAGTATATTGATTCAGAACTTTATTTTTTTTCACACAATATCCCCTTTGAATAATGCATGAGGAAATTGATATTTTAATCTATGTGTCCCCAGCTTGATATTTTAAAAACAACTCAGGAGTTAGTTATATTTTTCAGTATACAGATTAGCTGCTATCTATCCAATATATTCTTTGTATCTAATATATATAATTCTCTTACGTGGCTCCCAAATTTTGGCTGCATTTCTTTTCCGCCGGTGGCAATGTTTGCTTTGTTTTGTTTACGTTACTATTTCTCTTACACGGCGAATCGACCAATGATTGCCGCTAAAAATGTCACATGCCAAATCTAGCTGAGGTGGCTCAACATATAGCGCTTTTAAAAATGGAAACTGAAATAACCAGAGAGCATCAGCTGCGTCAATCTCATACTATTAAGCTAGGCAGAAGTGAGTAGTCTTTGTCGATAGATCTCTATTATAGTATTTTGTCGAAAGCGCTTTTTTTCGCGAATTTATATATTACGAATTTATTTGACGATTTTTGATTTATATCACGAATTATGCTATAGCACATTTCTAATAGGTTTAATGAATTACGTGTCATTTATTTGAATTCAAATTTATTTTAATGACTTATTATTTGCTAAAAAGATGTACTTTTAAAAAAAGTACATCTTTTTTTAGAAAGTAAAGAAAAGAAAAAGTTTTAGTAAAAGAAAAGTTTTTATATGGATTTGAATTATTGTTTTGAATTCTTAGAATTTTGTGCATTTGCAATGTACCTAAGTTAGTAGCGAGCTTGGTTTGTGAAACAAACCATATAAAGTTGCGTAGCAATTTTCGGGGGTTGGCGAGCGTTAGCGAGCAAGGGGCTCAGCCCACTAGTACATATATATTTTTTTACAAATATTGTTGAAATTTGTCAAAATAAACATATACTTTTTTTATTTTTATATAAAGCCATATTTAATTTATTTTCACTCATTCATAGTCATCAAGAGTAATAATATAAAATTTAATGCAACTAATAAATTTTAATATTTTTAGTAAAACATATTCAATTTTATTAGTTGCCTGAAATTTTGTATTTTGTCACTAATTTTAGCATAAGATATTTGTATTATATTTTGTAAACAATTCTTAATCATTTGTTTACTTCTTGAAGTCTTTTTAATAAATTTCAATTTCTTTTGTTTAGAATGTTATTTTCAACCATTTAACAACAGCTGGTATTCAGATGAATGCTATTGATGCAGAAGATCCAGAGGTAATGTCTTTTTATTTTTTAATATAATCCTTTTTTATTTGTAATTCTTTTAGCTGCACTTAAAATTCCTGAAGGAATTTTGATTTTTTAAAAATCTGGGGTAGAAAAATATTTTAAAAGATTTGATTATTGAGGTTGTGTTATCTATTTTTTGTTATCTTTTGTAAGATCAAAAATACTTAGTGTCTAACAATACAGAAATCTTTTGATTAAAATGCAAAGTGTTTTTGCATTTATATCTTTAGAGTAAATTTATTTTTATTCTCTATTGCTAATAATGTGTATTTTTTATGTATGTATTTGATTTATATATGATTGAAAAATATTTGTTTAATCTTGAATTTTTCTTGGTAGTTCTCCATTTTCTTATTTGAAAATAAATATTAATTTTGCTGTTTATCTTTTATTTTGTAAAAACATTCGGGTATCAATCGGGAATTTGATTTTAGATGTTAAAGTAGCTCACACCTACAGCATATTTCTGTAATGCGACATTGGACACCAAATCATCCAGTTCTAAAAAATTAGAGCATGCTGGTTTGAAAAATATCAGAATTATTATCATTTTTTGGACTTTAATTCTTTTGACTAGTTTAGAATGTTGATTAGATTTAATTTGCTTGTTTAAATGCTAAATGTAAAAAAATTTCCAAATATATTTATAAATTAATCTAAAATTTTTTTCTTCTTGTTACTTCCAATTAAAGAAATTGTTTTTGAATCTTTAATTGCATTAGGTGTCTGATTATCATATGATACCTTCAATCGCCAAGCTCTCTGAACATGCATTCTCATGTTTGCAAGAGTGTGATGAAATACCAAGTGATCCATCTGTACTATATCGTAGCAACCTGTTTCAGTTTGATAATAAAGTTTTACCTAAAGTTCTGAAGTAAGTCAATATTTGAACCTCTATGTGTTTCATGAAAATACTGCAAACCAATACATATTACTTTGATATATATTGGTCTGAAAACAAACTTCTGCTTTATTGATTAGTAAAGGCTATGCAAAGTAAAAACTTTACAAAATGTTATCTAACAGTTTGCAAATAAAAATAATGTATGGTGACCTACTATCAAATTGTCAATTTGTACCAACAACCTTATGAAATCTTTTAAATTGTATAAAAAATTTTTTTTAACTGTATCTTTAAAACATTGAAATTTTCAGTGTACCCTTAAATTGGTCCTTATAATTTGTTTTTGTAGCATCAAGTTATCTTAGGAAACAGCGGTCGGAAAAACTACATTATTTTTTTAGTTTACTACAGCTACTTTGTTACAAATGTACTTTATTACTTTTTTTTAATGTAGTAACTACAAACTACTTAGGAATTTTAGTAACTAATTCACTACTTTAAGGAGACGAACATTTCTGGAGAATTTAATTTACAACCATGTTTAAAAGTTTTGAATAAGAAATTGGATTACATTAAATATAAAGGGATAAGTGAGAAATAATGAGCCAATTTGTTATTCTAAAACACTTTTTTCGAATTTGTTCATTTAACCTTAAACTTTTTATGCCTTTTCTGACAGTGAATATTTAATTTCAGAAATACAAAATTAACAAATGCTTGCAGTGTTTTAAATTGTTCAATGATCTTTTATTTCCACTGAGAAATTAAGTGCATCAAAATTATGTTCCCTTCCTTTTAACAACAGCGTGCGTAGCATTTTTAAAAAAAGCTTAAAGGTGCTTATTTTTGATTTACGTTTTTAAAAAGCCATTACACGTGCTTTTTCTATTCGGGGTTTGTAAAAAATGCTTAATTTTCTGCCTTTTAAAAAAAGAGATTTTTTCTTTGCCATTTAGGTTGTCATTTTAAATTACAAAAAATGCATGATTTTCGCAATTTTCTCTGCAATATTCATCAGAAGCCAGTTATTTTATCATGATTATGTAAAGTTTTGAAAGTTGATGTAAAGTTGAAAATATTTTCGAATTTATTGATTTTATGCTTATAAATTAAGAACTTTAAACAATAGAAAAAAAAAGTTTTTTTTTACTGCACAGATCCTAATTATGATTTTTTTTTTAGAAAGTGATTAAAAATATTTTTTGAGTGCTTAAAAAGTATTGAAAAAGTGCATATTTTTTGTTGAAAAATCTGGCAACATATCCTGTTAAAATAACATCAATGTTTTGCATGTGAAAGTGTGAGGAAGCATTAATTATCCATTTTTCGTTACTGCGAGTTTAAATATTAGTTATATGTAATTTCAAATGCACAATTTTTGTTAACGCTCAGCTACAACTACATCATTTTAATTACGGCCATTAACGCACCCACGAAGATTTGTACCTATCAAATTCAAAAAATTAGTTGCGTTAGAACCCTGTTTCTTTACTGAACTAACATTAAAAGTAGTTGCCAGGAATCCCTACAAACTATTGTTTTTTTTTTTTGTTTTTTTTTTTTTTTTGTATCTCACTACACAACTTTTTCAAAAAAGTAACACACAAGTTCTACAAGTTATGTAAAAAAGTAGCGACTACAGTAGTTTCTCTACTTCCAATTACTGTGAATTCAGCTACTCATCTTAACTCCCTTTTGTTTTGATATTTTAATTTTTACTGCTTTTAAATATTCACACTTTTTTTTATGCAACTGAGATTCAGACTTACTCGTCCTGCCTTGATATCCGAAAACAGCGGTAGGAAATATAATTTTTCTCCTATCTTATTCTAGATCATTGGGTGTTTTGGTGCAAAAAATCTGAGATTTTTTTCTATGTGGAGGTGTGCAAGGTAGAAAATAGTGAGATTTTTTTCATGCATGACCTTTTGAAATGATTATGAAATATTGTGATTTTCTAAATGCAGAATCCCTGGTGGATTCACACTATTTTTTTGAATGTATTTTATTTATCAGTTTTGATTTTTATTATCTGCACTCCAGTGAAAAAACAAAACAAAAAAATAATAAATAATATTAGTAATGACATGTAAGTCATCCATACTACTTTCAAATAGAAACAAAGTACACCCTTCATTTATGGTTGCAGATTCATTTTAATATTGGCCCTTAACATACAAGGGGTGATCAAATGAAAAGGTACGAAACGACACGGTGGGTACAAATGTAGACTTTATTCAAAATATACACCATAGGCCTGAGCACAACGATCCCACTGATGAATAAGCTGCAGGACTCCTTGTTCCCAGAATTCCTGTGACCGATACGAGACCCAGTCTTTCACAGCGTCCTTGAGTACGTCGTCCAAGTTGAAGCGCTTCCCTTTCAGGCATTTCTTCAGTGGACCAAACACATGGAAATCGCAGGATGACATGTCCGGACTGTAGGGCGGATGGTCCAACGCCTCCCACTTGAACTTGGCTAGTTCCATGTGTGTGACTCTGGAGACGTGTGTACGCGTGTTATTATGGAGCAGAACCACACCCTCCGTGAGCAGCCCCTGGTCTTTTGTTCTTGATGGACCTGCTGAGGCGTCGGAGTGTCTCACAGTACACATAGGAGTTAATGGTTTTTCTGTGCTCGAGTTTCTGTTCCTCATACGGACTGCCGCATCATTTGGACGCTGCTTTTGATAAGAGCCTCTGCTCTCTCTTGCGCATGCGGGCACCTGCGCATGCTCCAACCCCCGTCAGAGACTCCAATCGCATCCCGATATGTCTCGCTACGTTCTCCCATGGCGGAATATGCAAATATTTAACTGTTATGTTTTTACGTCGTTTCGTACCTTTTCATTTGATCACCCCTTGTAATATTTTTGTTTTTCTGACCCAATTCTTTAAAAAGATTGGACATCACTGCTATCGACCAAGGCTAAAGATATTTATTTAAAATTTTGAATTATAATTTCACTGTTTTTCTCACCATAACTCATTTTTATTTAGAGCCTATAAAGAAATTAACATGAAGCATGAACCTCTGAAACTCATCATGCCTAGATTTGAAACTCCTCTAGCACCTCTTCAACCTGCTGTAAGTTCCTTGGCTATAAACTTTAATATCTACTTTAATATTTATTGAAGTTGGAATAATTACAATAAAGGGACTGTCCATAAATGATGTTAGGGTTGACGATGTTAGTGACTACACACATTTTCATACCTGCCAAGCCTCCTGTTCCTTAAAGAAAACTCCAGTATTTTGCAACTATCTCCTGTTTACCTGTATATTGTCAAATTTCTCTGCATTTGTTGGCGAATGACAAAAATACTTCCCTTATTCCTCAATCGATGGTGCTATTGCCAGTACTGCAGTTTGTTGAGTGTTTATAGTTTAAGTAATTATAAAAAATGGTTTAAAAAATCTTTTGATTAAGATTTATATATATCTTTTGCTTTGCTGAATGTAAGTGCTTTTGTTATGATTGTGCATGATTTATCGAAACTTTACTCATAGCAACAAAAAAAAAAAAAGAATGTCACAAGTAAAATCTCTGTTATTTTATAACTAATATGTTGGCATGTATGCCTTTTAGCTAATATATATTTGAAATCAACCGATAAATTATTTATTTTATTTATTTTTTCATCTTTTTTTGTTAAAAATAGTCTAGACATGCCTATTATTAGTGCTATGCTCAAAAACATCATTGATATGTATATTTATAATTTTAAAATAAATTTAAAACATGTTCCATAAAGTAGTGCTTAGTTTCTTAACTGTTAGCATTGCTTATGTTATTTTTTCTCTCCTGCGGGTCCATGGATAAATATTTGAATTAAAATAAATGTAGATTTTATATATATTTAAATAAGTTTAAGCTCAAAATACTTTTCATTACAGAGATTATTTGAATGATCAGACGCAAAGTGGTTTAGAGCATCTCAACTTTGCATGCATAAAAATTATGTCAAATTATTTACCTTACTGGTTGGCGGTAAAACACAAATATTTTATTGATTCTTCGAGTAAATCAAGTAGAGAGCAGGTGAATGATCAAAAACAAACTGATTAAAAAGTTTTTAGAGTACCACAACTATGAATGTGTAAAAATTAGATCAATTGTTCAAATTATTTACCTTACTGGTTTGTAGTAAAACATAAATATTTTATTGATCTTTCAAGTAAATCAAGTAGAGAGCAAGGGAATGATCAAAAACAAACTGGTTAAAAAGTTTGTAGAGTGCAACAACTTTGCACACGTAAAAATTATGTCAATAGTCCAAATTACTTACCTTACTGATTGGTGGTAAAACGCAAATATCCGGATCCTTCGGGTAAATCAGATAGAGAACACATGAATGATCAGAAACAAACTGGTTAAAAAGTTTTTAGAGTGCTACAACTTTGTATGTGTAAAAATTAAACTGTTCAAGTTACTTACCTTACCGGATAGCGGTAAAATGCAGAATTATTTTACTTATCCTTTGAGGCAATCAGGTTAAGAAACATTAGTTTATGTTTTATAGTGTGACATGTGAGTAGAGGATAGGGATATAATGAAGTGAAATATTTTGTGACAAAGATGAAAAGGGGCTCCTAAATATTGAAATAAAATGTGACACCATTAATGGACTACCTTAAACTTCAATTATGAAATTGAAATCATCCAGAAGATAATTTCAATACTTTTTTTTCTTTAATTACAAAACAAAGACTATAACTGTTTCCCAATATATAAAAATATTTTTTATTTATTTAGAATACATTAAAGATAATATCCATTGTTTGTATTTCAGTTATTAAAACCAATTTATTGTTCTTCACGCTAGGTTTTCCCACCCTCGTTTCGAGAACTACAAAAACCCGCTCTTGAACTTTTTGATTTAGATGAAGCGTTCAGCACAGAAAAAGCACGACTTGCTCAGTTGACGAACAAATGCTCTGACGAAGATCTTGAATATTTTATCAGAGAGTGTGGAGATATTCTTAACATAACAGATAAACTGCCATCTAGTAATCGAGATGGAAAACATATCATTGAGTACATTGTTTCTCAAGTGGCAGAGTTCAAAAAGTTAAATCAAGCCAGTATGGAAGGACTTTAAATGTCTTATTATATCTTCAGTATCATCGGAGTTTAAAAAATTATGCTTTCACCTTGTATTTTTTAATTCATAATATTCAACATAAAATTCTAGTCTAAATTTATTGTTTATATTTTATAAATGTTACCTAGAAGTATTTAAGATACATATTTTGCACTCTAATTTTCTTTCTAAATGTTCAGCGTTTTACACGAAAAAAAAATTACGTTTAATTCAGGGTTTAAGATTTTAAAAAATGCTATCAATTGCAAAAATGCCGTATAGTAAAACTATTTTTATATTCAAATTGAAATGAGTGATATAGATTCTATTGTTTTTTACAATTAGCAAAATTAAATTAATCAGTTTAGATTGTGTTTAAGCATTTATTTATAGTTTTTTTAACTATCAAACCCAATGCTAATTATTGCTTAATTCTTATTGGTTAAATGTATGTATAAAACAAAATAAATATGGGTCACATTTTAACTTACCTAGTTAAACATTTTAAATAACTGGTAAATTTTGAAAGTATTTGTTAAGATGCAGTGACATAATGTTTAATTAATTAAATATAAATTGTTATTCTTGTGTAAATTTTGCAATACATGCTTAATAATTGTCATGTGTTGATGCTAGTCAATGTATCTAGTTTGTGTCTTTGTTAATATTTGTTTTTACTTGATATTTATTGAATGATTTTCAGGCTTGATATCTTTCAAATCATTTTAATATTTTATTTAATTTATTTACACCTTTATTGAGATTAGTTTACTTGCATAGTTTTTAAATAAAATAGAAATTTATTATTATGTAATTGTTATGAACTTCATGGTATGGCTGTTGTTAATGTTTAAAATTATAAGTAAGCTCAAAAATGATCTAATAGTTTTGATAATTTATTTGAAGACTAGTTTTAAATTTGAAACCATTTATGCAAAATTGTATTTTATAATATATATGAGTGAAATTACTTTATATCCGTCCATTTTTCAATAAAAAATTATTTTATAGTTATAAAACTTTTATAATTCATAAATCTAAAATTATGTATAATTATTCTTTTAACTGCCTGTATTAGTAATAATAAAATATGATTATCTTTTTACAGATGAAAAATTAATACATAAGGGATCATCATTTGAGCCAACTATATCTAGTAAAGTTATTTTTTCTAGTATTAAAAAAATAATAATTATATACACATTTTGATATTTAGTAAATCATTTTTATTTTGTTCATCCAGTGTATTTAGTTCTGATTTGCCACAATTTATTAGAATATTTTATATTTTAAGTAATTGTTTTAATTAGTAAAATATATTTTATTTAAACTAAATTTGTGAACTGCTAAATTTATATATTGCATTTTATGTTTTTATTTTTTGTCTTCAGGATTGGCTAGTGTTTCCCAAAGTGTGGTACGTGTACCCCCAGGGGTACAGGAACAGTTTAGCGGGGGTATGCGCTCATATGCGAAATATCTTGCAACAAACGAATATTTTACAAAATTTTATTTAAAAACAAAGCTAGCCATGAAAATTTAAGATTGGCTATTTTTTGCAGAGTTAACAGTTAATAATTAGGGGTATCAACAGCCACTAGTGACTTTTAACCTTTGGGCAAATTTTTTACAGTAAAAAATACATTCATTTTGTATTAATGGTACACAGCGTTACGAAACATTTAGAAAGGGTACACAAATGTCATAAGTTTGGGAAACACTGGGATAGGCTATTAAATATATTTTATAGCCACTATAGTTTTAATTATGGGAAATGTTGAGTGGGATAACTTTTTTAACTATTGCATAATGCTCAATTATATTTATAATATGCTAGGAAAGGAGGAAGGGGTCTCATGAAATTGTAACAGTTTGTGACTAGGGGGAACAAGAAGTGTGAAATCCCGCATTTTTGTTAATAAAAAATTAATAAACACGATAAAAATATATTCTAACAAATTAAGTATAAATTTAAACATTGGTATAATTACAAATGACATTAATAAAATGAAGTTAAAGTTTCAAAATTTAAAAGATCATCTGTAAGACATGTTTATATAAATTGCAATGTGACAATTGGGGGGGGGGCATGCTGAAATGTGATACTTTGTGACATAATAGAGGAGGGTTTTAAGAATATTGGGGGGGGGGGGGGGGNGGGGGGGGGGGAGTGTGTTCATTTTGTTCATGTTCTTACAAACATTTAATTTATTCTTTGTTCTTGTGATTAAATTATGCACTTTTAATATTATTTATTAAAATATTTACATTGCTATATGTTGGACATAATAATAATACCAATTATTGAACTGTATGTTCTTCAAAACACTTTTTACTAAGGTAATGTGCTTTTCTCAAAAGAGGAAAATAAATATTTTTTAATTGATTGCAATGAAATTTTGCTTTTGTAGATTTTAATTGACATATGTTGTGCACTAATCCAAACTCCATAAAATTACTAATATAAAAATGAAAGCAGAATTCACATTTTAAGTCTGTTTATTTGTGGAATTTGATTTTGAAACTGTCAACCAGGAATGAGGAACCAAAATTCGAAATAAATGTTTATTTTCAGTCTGATAGATTATAATTATGGGTTCATTATATAAAGCTTAATTATAAAGCTGTTCAAGAAATGGCTGTTACAGTTTTAATCCTTTGTTGTTAGTAAATATTTCAGAGTTGTTTATCAGCAGATTAAACCTATGTTACATTTGCTGAAATACCTATGTCCAGCACTGGGTCCAAGGAAGTAAAAAGGCAAAACTGTGTATATCCAAGCAATTTCGTAAGTTTCCACGTATTCAGCACTGGATGATTATAAAAATAAAAGTAACGTTCTGTGTATTTATTCTTTAAAGGTTGAAATTGTAACTTTACATAAGTATTAATAATAAAATGTTACTTAAAAAGTATAAAGTCATATTTCCAAAAATGTTTAGTTATTAACAATTAAAAACATGATTTAGTAATTAGTTCAAAACTGAATAATTGTTTTTTTAATCTTATATCTTCACTTGATACTTTATTTAAATAAAATAACTAATACATTTCAAGAATCTGGATACTAAAAATAATAATATACATGAAATAAAAAAATTTGCATGTGTTCTATGTAAGCCAAGAACTCAAATAATGAAGCAAATATTTGTTCAAATTTTTATTAAAAAATTACATAGTTGTACTAAGGTTAAAAAGCACACTGTTCTCTTTGTATAATTAGTGGAAATAGTGGTAGGAACATTGTAAAAGAATAGTTTCAATATCTATTTAAAATACTTATTGGAAAGCTTAGATTTTTACTTAAAATATTTATTTTTATTACATTTATCATGTTTTATAAAAGTTATGCCATTGTCATCATGTTTACATAAAATATGAAATTGAAATCAGATATAAATTTCATTCATTTAGTATTCCTTCTATGAATAATAACGAAGTTAAATCATATACTCAGCATGTAATTTTTTTTAAAGTCAAAAACAAGTTTGCATACATTGTTTGCTTTTGTGAGTTGCATAAATCTTTAGAGACAAATAAGTTAATTAATAGTTGCAAACACTGTATTCATATTTTGAACTTAATGAAATGTTAATTCTGGCTAGAATTTATAAGTGGCTTAGTTTGCAAACGTGCTAACTCTAAACTAAAAGCATATGAAATTAACAGGAAATTAACATTTGAAATTAATTGATATAATGTTATCGAATTCAAAAATATGTTTACCCTCAAATCCAATTTTTGGAGAAAGTTGTGTGGCAAATTTGGTTGTATGTTTCCATTAATTTTATGATTTGAAACCTACCCAACATTTTTAAGAATCTGATTTCTTTAACAAGATCAATAATAATACATAACTTTAAATCATCTAGTTATTATTTATTCTCACAATTTTAGAGCTTAGTCGATAAAAGTTCTAAATAAAAGTTTTTAAAAAAATATTGTTAAACCTGCAACATTGATCTATTTTACCAAATCTCTAAATTAAAAGATTTTTGTGAATGAAGGTAGTAGTTGACAGTTTTTGGAATGGAAAAAGTTTCCAAGTGCACCTGGTAACAAAGAGTCTTTGAGTAACTTTAGACCTGCCTTTTGAAATCAAAATACAAAGAGAAAGAGGGATTTTGCAAAAGCTTACAAATAAAGGCAAATCTTTATTTTCTACTAACATATTAACTTAAAAGCTAATTGACTCAAATTCAATGAAATGCCACTAAGGAACCTTCATCCACTCATCTTTTCAAATGAGATAATATTGAATAAAAATAATTTACTCAAATTCACTGAAATGTCACTAAGGAACCCCACTTAGTTCTTATACAGACAAAAGAGCAAACAGTCATACACGTTAATTATATCGTCCAATAAAAAGTTATACTTTATAAACAGAAAAAATTAACTAACACTACAATTATCTCTAAAACAAATTCAATATAAAAAGCAAACAAATGCACAAAATAATATTTAACTAAACAAAAAAAGACTTGTGCAAAATATTTTTGTTCAAAAATTTTCGTTGTGAACTGATCATATTATCACATAACTATTTAATTGAAACAGCAGCATGTTCATCTAATGAATAATCTTGTAAAAATTAAATGAACAATACGAAGTCAATTAAAATATAGTTTGCTGAAGTAGGACAAACAACTAAACTAATAAAACTAGCTAATGTAATTTTTTTCAAAATTGACCAAAATCAAAAAACTCTTGTGCTCAAAATCAATTTTAGGAGGAAAATTTGAATGAGATATATATATTTCCATTATTAGTTCTGAGCAAATTCAGTATAGAAAGCTAACATTAAACGAAAAAAAAAATTCTAACTAAACAAAGAAGACATAAACAAAATAATTTTGTTCAAAATTAATTTTTTTAAACATATTAAATTATCACAATATTAAACTGACAAAAACTTATTGATCTAATGATTCCCCTCCTACAACTTATGAATGTGAGATTAATAAAACTGTAGGTTAAATAATAATGAATATTAATAACTTATACAACGCTGCAGCAAGATTTCTGATGTTTTGATAAACTGATTAAACTCTCCGAATGAAATTCATTTAAGTTTTATCAGTCATGGATAAATAGTGTAAAATGAAAATGATGCTTATCAAAAATGTCAAATGATGTTTCAATACAAAAATATTATTCTCATGAAAAAAAAAAAGTTTAAATGTAACAAGATATAACACTTTAATTTCAAGAAAGTTAAAAACAAATCCCTGTCAGATCCATTTATAACAGTCTTTCAGGTATTTCTAAGCATAATGATGCTTTTGCATGGAATTCAACGTTTTAATGTTTCGTCATAAAAATGTAGAACATGCAAATATGGGTATTATTTTAAGAGTTCATTTCGTTTTTCATTTCGAATGCTCGCTGTAAGGAAATGTAGCTAATTTCTATCACAAATATCTCAGAAAGTTAGTTATAGAATAATTTTGTTTTCTTTTAAAATAACTGACTAAAATTGTATACGCGTAAATGTTTTTCAAAACTCCAAACATAGTTCTTTCATAAATGCCGTCTCTCTCTTCTATAGGGAGATTCCCTATTTTTGTGGCCTTTAAAAAAAAGTACACATCTCTTTGAATGTTAAAAGATTTGAAAATGGAAAAATATAAACATTTTTCAGTTACGAAAAGGAATTTTTGATTAAGAAAAATTATAACTTTTCTATTAGGGTAATAGTAATTAGCGTTAATAAACATGCGCTATTTGTTTGTAATTTATCTACAAAATGTTTATCTTAAAAACATTGAAATACATCATACTAATTTTGTACTGAAGATTATACATTAATTTTTGCTGAAAGTTTTTACGCTTAGAATTTTGCTTGAGTTTTTACGTTTTTTTAAAAGTAATAAATGCTAGAGAAGAAACCTTTTACACAAGTACGATCTACTTGATATTTTTTTTTCTATCATTTGAATAAATCTTATTATTGCATAGTTGCCAACTTTCCCTACAGTTTCGAGAGATTCTCTAATTTTTGTACATTATTTTCCAAACTTATGAAATAGAAACTATTTTTACTTAAACATTTGAAAATTAATTAAAAGAATTTTTTATCATCAAAGAAAGAAAAAAATTTAAAAAAAGGGAGAAAAATATGTTGTGTAACAATAATGATTTACTAAACATGTTTTAATAATTTAAAATTTATATATGTTTCATAAATATAAAAAAATTCAATTTTATCAATTTAAATTTCACTGAAAATCAAGTTTCTGATAAAAGGGAATTTTTACGCTAACAAATGATATGTAAAGAACAAAATCTTTCCCATAAAAATAAACTTACTGAATTTTTTTTTTTAATTATGCGTAATTTTTAATGTTCTGGAAAAATCTCGTGATTTTTAAGAAAAAAAATCTTATTTTGTTCTGCAAAAATGTTCAGTAACAATAAAATTTTCAGAATTCCTAAATGTAGGTAGATGTAACTGTTTTAGGATTCCATAAGAAATCTTTAAACTTGTTATCGAACAATTCCGTCACACATTTTAGGCAGCTATATCAAATTTAAAAGAAAAACTTACTTCAAAATAAGTTGCCAACTTTTCTAAATATTTGGGTTAGAAATTCGTATTTCCTTTTAGAGCAAAAATGCTGCCCTCTTAAAAGAAATGCATAGTACATGTTATTTGTATACATTTCTATAAAAAAAAAATTTCAAAAAAAGTGAATATACATTTAACGTAAATACATTGTATAACGATAACAAATGCATGGACTCTAGAAAAATAATTCTTTGGTATTAAGTTTTCAAAAGCCAGTACCAGTATCTCCGAACTACTATATTTATAGATTTTAAATCATTGAAGTAAATTCAGAAAACAGTACAAGGCACCAATTAACCAAATTACTTGTCCCACATCAGGTTAAGTTTTAAAAGAAAACTCTCACATCTTGTTTTCCTCTTTCTGTTGTTTATTTTTTTCATTGTTAGTGACGCAGTGCCCATTTCCGTTCGCTGTGCCATTAAACACGAATACTTCCGACATCAGTGTCTTGGAATGGCCGGAACCAGATCGGCAATTGCTTGAACTGGAATTGGTGTTTCCTAATCTTCTTTTGGCTCCGCAAAATAGTCGGACATACGCTTGCCTGTACTGGCGATTCATCGCCGCATAGATAATAGGATTGATGCAAGACGACATCCAAGCCAAGATGGAAGCAACTGTATGGATGGTTGGAACACTAAAAAGGAATAGAATGCTTTTCAATTTAGGTCGTCAATGAATTACTGATGTGCCCAAAATGTTACCATTCAAAGAACACAAAGAGCGATTGTTTAGTAGCAAGTTTATTAAGTCTTATAAATTTGTTTAAATTATTTTTATACAGTAGCGATCTAAATTATTATATATTTTTATTTTATATCCATCGTTGAACAGCCGACCTCATTTTTTGGGTTTACGACTACTAATGTTCAACTCCGTGGCCTTGTAGTTTAAAACCCAATCCAGAAGACAAGGGAACTCCTGGATCAAACAGTGGGAGAAGTTTGTGTTTGTGGAGGACTTTTTGTAGTTGTAGTTCATTTACGTCGCACTAGAGCTGCACAATGGGCGATTGGTGACGGTCTGGGAAACATCCCTGAGGATGATCCGAAGACATGCCATCACAATTTTGATCCTCTGCAGAGGGGATGGCATCCCCGCTTCGGTAGCCCAATGACCTGCACTCGAAGTCGAGCACTTTACGTTAGAACAGTTTAACGAGAACCAATACAGCACACCCCCGGTCCCTACACAGACTGATCCAAGTGGTCACACCCACCCGCATACTGACCACAGTCAGTTATCCTTGACTTCGGTGATCGGCTGGGAACCGTGTCTTAACGATCAGTCCACTGCGGGACTGGAGGACTTTTTGACCTGCATTTGCGTTACATGGAGAGAAAAACCTCCCACGGTTAGCCTCTCGGCAAGGGGACTCTAACCCATGATCTGTCTACCACTGAGGATATTTTTACGTCAGCTCTGTTGCGTAAAAATGATGCGGAATTCGTATCGACATCGCTGCTATTCGAACCTGGTTCTCCTCATTAGAAGGTGAAAGCTGTATCTCCTGAGCTATCACGGCACTGATCTAATTTTTTTTCAAATTAAATTTGCACAATCGAAAAACTGTATAAATGGAAAAGCATAAAATTTCTACTACTATAAATAATCGTGGGAAATCTCTCGCCAAAAGCAGGAGCAGTTGGTAAGCATGTATGTGTGTTAAGAATGGTTATAAATTGGTGCATAATTGAGAGAAAAAAAACGTTTCAAATCACTAATCTACAAATCATTATTAGGTAAATAATATAGCAAAGGAGGAATTATAAATTAATAAAAACTAATTTATTTATGTAGAGAGATTAGAATACAATTGCCTTTCGTTAGAAATTGCCTTTACGCTTCTCTCTCAAATTTCGGATCAGCAAAAACGCAATTTCAATTTTTTAGAGTGAAATAAAACTCACTTTTTTCTACACAAAAAATAAGTTTTAATCCGGCAAATATCTTTCATTCTGTTCGATGACACTTTGCCATCTTTCTGACAGCTTCATGATCCAACACTCTTAGTTATCATGTTGGTTAAACATTTCCGTAAAAAAATACCTTTCTGATAACAAAAGTTGAAAAATCTCAGAAAAGAATGTTTTTAATTATCTGAATTGTTTTATCTTTCAACACATAGGTTAAGAGCCTTTGCTTTTGTTTACATAGAAAATCATGCATCAGGAATGTTGACATTAATCAAGAAGGACACCATTCTCGATACTATTTGGGGAAAATTTTCAATGTGCTTTTCTTTAAAAAAAAAAGTAATTTTATATTAATTGTTTTCTAAGATATACACATTAAGCTTTCAACAATTTAATCTACTTTCATTAAACACCTCCTAAAAAATACCTTCTTGATAACAAAAGTTGAAAGACCTTACAAAACGTATTTAATCGCCCAAAATTCCAAAAAACTTCTCATCTCCCAACATATAGGTTAAGTGCCTTTGCTTGTATTTATATATAAGACAACATGCATCAGGAATGTTGACATTAATCAGGTAGGACACCATTCTCCTTACGAATAGCAATTAAGATGGGGGGAAAGAGTGACAGGTAAGTAATCACCAAAACGTGACAAGATTTGAGTTAAATACAAAGTGTCACCCCAACACGCGTCCATCAAGAATAACAACTGGTCAGATGGCGATCTTCATCAACCTCGCCCTTGAGTCAAAGAACAGCATCACAACGAGTTGGCTTTTGAGTTTTGTCGGAGATCTCACGATTGATGGTAGATTTCTAACCAATGTACATAATTTGTGAGTTGAAATGGTTTATGGGATACTTCATTGAGAATTTAGAACTGTATTGCAGGTGATAAAGTTTCCTTGTAAGTTACGGTAACTGCCTTGAATCAGCGAAAGCTTGTTCACAAATCAGAGGCGGATATAGGAGGTTATCTGCTCTTTTTAATCATAATATACAAGGTATATGATAATGTGCTTTTCCAGAAGTGCTAAGATAAGCGGTTATTTGTTGATGTTGATGCGAAACACGATCTTCTGAGATAAATTAAAACATACACATTAGCACTAAAATATGGGGATTTTACTCGTTTTTATAGTCTTGTAAGTTTTTAAATGTATCAGTTATAACTAGATGAAACAGATACAAATAATATTGATGATTACTGGATTTTTTTTAATGAAAACATGGAATAACTGAAATGCACTATCTAAGTATAATGCGTATCTTTTATGTTTATGATCATGTTTCTGTTTAAATGTTACAGATGTAACAGATAGGAATGTAATTGATGATGTGGCTTTTACAAACTATACGGTGTGGAATTCATATAAGACAGGGTTGTGTTATCTCTAAGAAGTTACTAAACTCAGCCTATGAATAGCTAAGGCCGACTGTGATCATCCCTGTTTTCTTAACCTTGGACTCTGAGAGGCAAGAGTAAATGTTCCGGTTGGTGGTTAGACGAACACGATAGTCTTGATGATACCCATTTTGTCAACCCATAGCAGTCCCCGTAGCAGAATCGTGGCGACATTGTCACAGGACATTACAGAGTTCTTGTTGAAAGATTTTTTTTTATTTGGGAAGCAAAAAAGTGTTATCTGCAGAATTTTTGGAAAGATTTTTTTTTTCTGCAGAGCTTTTTTTTCTACCCTATTCTGCAGAATTATTTTCAAAAAATACCTCTCTCGCTTATCAGAGATGAAAGAAACGCTCATGATTTATTTATTTATTTTCTTTTTTACTTTGAGAATAAAAGAAATTCCACACTGACTGATTGCTATTATAAAAAGTAATTTCCAAATCGATAAAATTGTAAAACGATAACTACACAACAAAAAAAATTTTTAGAACAGATGAACATCGCCAATAATATCAGAATATGTATTCTTTTATATGTATATTAAAAAAAAATTCTTACATTTGTAATTAAAAAAATTATATACTGTTCTATTCTATACATGAAGGCTTTTTTTTTTTAATATTCTTTTGTAAACAGGAAATACTTCTGTCACTTGAAATTAGTAATATATATATATATTTGCTACTATATAAAATTATTTTCTGAAAAGTATTAGTACTAGAGAGAATTTTCGCAGAAAGCTCGAAAAAATTGTCCGAGGATAGAACCCCGGATCTGTGTATTTTTTCTTTATACATACATTGCACTTAAAATAAATTATTTTAAAATGTTAAAAAGTCTAATTTCTTCAACAATTATAAAATTAAGTAAAATTATATCACCGAATTAATCTACTACTATCCATATCTTCCTCTTGCTTACTCCAAAAAAAAAAAAAAGCAAAGCAAAATAATATCAGAAAATACAAAATCTAATATTATATAGCATCAAAAACAAATGCAAAATAATATTATGGCGAACGCTAGATAATATTAGTTTGCATAGAATCTAATATTATGTAAGGCTGAGCAAACAGCGACCCCTTGTATCTTTCTAATATTAGAAGTTGTGCAAGATAACGTTAGATTTTGCCGATTTTTCTGATATTATCTAATATTAGGTGCTACTTGGGAGACTGAGAATACAGGAGTTGTTGCTCAGCTTCGATATCCACTAGTTCTCAGAGCAGAGTGTAGTGATTAATTTAATAATCTAAAAAATTTAATAATCTTGCGACTGCGCAGATTATGAATCAATAAGTAAATTACTCAAATTATCTATATTTAATTGACTATTGGAACTACCGATAATTTTGGCAATTGTTTGTATTTAAACCACTAAAAAAAATAAAAAAACACTGTTTGAAATAATGTTTTAAACTAAAATGAAAAACTAATAAATCATTGCTGTTTGGAAAACTAACACATAATTTACCGCACGAAGACTTTTTATAAATTTATTAATTTATTTTTATCATTTTTTAGCGCTACCTTATTTTTCTCTTCCTCAATCGTTGAATATATACCGAGTAACTTTCTAAACTGCCTAAAGAAGAGAATCCAACAATTTGGAAGCAATTAAAACAATCTTTCCACAATTGACACAGTTTTATTGGTTTTTCTCGAAAGTTCAGATTTGTAACATACCCCTTTTAACATTGACAGTTTTAAATGTTACGAATATCATAGATAATATATACGAATATATATTTTACCAATGCTTTTATAATACTACGAATATGTTATAGTCTCAAAATCATCAGTCATTTTATCTTAAAAATAACCTTAATATCCATCATAATCTCTATATTCTTAAGGCATGTTGCAGTATTTTTATTGAAAAGAAAATAACCTTAATATTCACTATAGTTTTCTTATCATAACTCTTAGGAGAATAAACTCTCAATGGGTAGAATCCTAACACTCAAAAGAAATTGTCTTAAAAAAAAATACTTTTTACGGAGATTACGACGGGAACAAATTCTTGGCTACGTGAAACAATTTTTTCGACATAAAAAAACGGCTTTGGAACTTATAATCTCTAAAACAGGGGGAGAACTGTTTTTTCTTCGTTCTCCAAATGAATAAAAAAAATGCAGTTAAAAAAAATTGTAAAGCGGATTTACAGACGAAATCCAAAAGAGGATGAAGACAAAATCACGGAGGAAATTCGCCTCAGCGGTTCCGGTTAACCAAAGCGCAGCTAATGCTTCACCAAAATCGTTACATGGTAAAAATCGTATTTGTCAACCAAGTAAACGAACTGTCTTTGTTGGAGTACGATTTAAGTCAAGCTTTTAGCAAATGTAATTCGTCATTGTAAGTTGTAAGCAAGTAGGAGGAACGGTACGGCATGCAAATACATAATCCCGTGAAATCGTCTTTTGTTCTAATTTAAAATAAATTATTCGATATTCTTGCAGTAAATAAGACTTCTTTCAGTACACGTTTTGTAATTCGTTGTTTCGAATTTGGCTATAACTATTCGCTGTTTCGTATTTCCTATTGACATGCAAAGATTCCAACCTCGCCATTTTTTGGAAAAGATTTTATAAAGTTGAAGAGATTTCAAAAACTAAAACTTGCAGAATACAAAGCCTTGCCTCATGATATATGGAACTAATTGCATTTTATTCATAGGTTTGAATTATTAAGTAGCGGTGGTTTCACTAAATCAAAAAACATGTATTGTAATTCGTCATTGTAAGTTGTTACTTTTAAGCAATTAGAAGGAATGGTACCGTTATGCAACTGCATAATCCTGTAAAATAATCTTTTATTCTAATTTAAAATAAATTTTTCTTAAATATTTTTGTAGTAAAGATACTTTTTTTTAGCATACGTTTTGTAATTTAATGTTTGGAATTTCATATAACTTGACATGCAGCCTGCCACTTTTGGAAGAAAAAAAATTAAATAGTAGAACTTTTAAAAACTACATCTTGTAGAATTTTGAGAACACTTAAGCTCCTTTCCACGTGATATATGGAACAAATTGGCATTTCATTCATAGGTTTGAATTGTTATGTTGTGGTTGTCAAAATCACAAAGTCAAATTTATCAAACTACGAATCATACATTAGTAATTCTTCATTTTAAATTGTTAATTTGAAGCAAGTAGGAAACACAATATGGAGTGCAAATACATAATCCAGTAAAATCGTCGTTTGTTCTAATTTAAAATAAATTATTCCATTTTTTTTCTGTTGCAATATTAGACTTTTTTCAGCATATTCTGTGTAATTTGCTGTTTCGAATTTCCTATAACTTGACATGCCAACTTTTACACTTTTTCGAAAAGATTTTATAAAATCGAAAAGACTTCTAAGATTTAAAATTTGCAGAATTTTGTTCAATTTTGCAAATACTTAAAAGCTAATTAGAATTTTATTCATAGGTTTGAATTACGTAATGGTGGTGAAAATAACTAAGTCAAATTTACTATACCATAAATCATACATTAAAAATATAAATTTTGCTACCATTAGAAAAAATTTGCTTGCAAAGCGCAACAAGTTGGCATGTTTGGACATGTGCATACGTTTCAATATCAACGGAACTGCTGTACTTTAAGAAAATTAGTGGTAGTTAAGAGATTGTATCAATATTTCAATAAATTAAAATTAAAAGAATTTTGGTCACCAGTATAAATTATTCAAACATTATACAATAAGCAGTATACATTATTGAAACAGTTATGTAAAAGGTTAGATGGATAAATGCTCAAATTTTATTTTATTTTATAAGCGGCGTTGGACAGATGATACAATTCTGAGTTAACGACTATCATTGTTCAACTCCGAAGACTCGTAATTTTGGAAAATTGGGACTCCGTAGACTTATATCTTCAACTCAGTAGACTTGTAATTTTAAACTAGATCCCTAATTAGAATGCCTTGTCCAAAACTTTCTGCAAAAGAATTTCCAGGGCCCAAGCCAGCTGGTGTTTAAAAGAAATTGTGGCCAAATTCAGGTGGACCAGCTGTTTGAACTTAATAAAGCCACATGTTTTGCAACTAAGTTTGAATGTAGAATAGTTTGGAATGAAAATTTCCGGATGGCTAAGTCCGAACTTGAGTTATCAAGCCATTAAAGGGGAAAAATATATAAATAATAAAAATTAAAAAAAAAAAACTAGTTTCAAATCTCTACTGTCAGAAATTTCATACCTAAAAGAATTTGAACCCAAGTAACTAATCAAGTTAGTGTCAAAAATAACACTGAAAAAAATTAAAGAAAAAAAAAATACTCTTATCCCTTATAGATAGTTTGTAATTGAGATATAATTAACAAGTACAAAATTTATTTTTGCCTGCAAGTGGAACTTTATAGAGTAATAGTATATAAGTTGCTTACTCCATCTTATCTTCTAAGACATTGGCTATCATAAGCGGCAGAAAACACATTAAAAAGGAACAGAATATGATGAGCATCATCCTGGTCAGTCGGATTTCGTCCTGACGATGAGATAATTGTCGCATTAAAGGAGCCGGACTCGAAACACCTCCAGGAGTTTTGGTTGGGGTGGGAGAATGAGCCTCCACATTTTTTCTACTTTTATGAACCTAGAACAAGATTCAAATTATATTTATCATTTTATTACAATTGAGCATTTTTCAAACTGTTTAGCTACAATATTATTAATTATAGCTATAAAAGGCGTAAATAAGGCTGGAGTTGGTTGAGAGTTATATATTGGTGCAGAAATTACTATTGCCATTTAAAAACGATATGTATGTAACTATGCGAATGATATAGTAACTGTAATAACTATATAGTTTGTACTATGCTATTAATTCCCATAAAACGGATTCACATATATGTAACAAACTGCGAATAGGTCAAGGGACCATGTCACATAATGATATTTCTTACATCTTTGTTACCATTAAAGTGCGAAAATGAGTTATTCAATAAACTATCTAGGGGTAATGTGCAGGGGTGATGCAGTTAAGTGTCGAAAATTGTTTCCAATTCTCAAATTACCTAAAGAAATTAGCAAATTTAGTAGATAATCTGCCTAATACTAACTTAGGCACTTGTTAATCTGCAAATTACTTAATCCTGAAACTTACTTAGTCCTGAAACAATAGCGACGCTTTTGTGCGCTTACATTAACTTTCAATGGTATTTATTTTTACATTTGTCACACTCAATTACGGCTTCCTCCAGTTTCTATGGAAACAGACCGGTGTCAACCTCAAATAGGTAGGATAGGTTAGAACTTAGTGTGAGCAATGCATGCAATTACTTAAATTATTATTCGCATAAGCATGGAAACGTTAATAACAACTGGGTATTCGCAACTCGAAAAGAAGTGAAGTGATCATTCCTAATAATGCGATTTAAATCAAATTTAAATGGATACCTGTAAGCGACGTCACGCGTGTGTATCGAATCTAATTGGCCTTTGAATCGACACATGCCACGATTTACTTATGGAAACGTTCTTGAAGGTATCCAATTGGGTACCAGCAAGCGACGTCAAGCATGGATGTCGAACCTAATTGGCTCCTGAAGCGTCGAATTTGCTTATTCCACGAATTAGCAGCGAATCGACACCCACGCCTGATTTGCAGGTCCAAATTAAATCTGATCCGAAAATTGATTCAGCGGTATAATACATCATTACTCCTAATAGCTGTAACGTTAACTCGCCGTTTAGTTTATACATAACCATCCGCCGTTCAGCTGTCTAATTCTCGAGTTGCAAGTATTCAATACTAAAATATTATTAATTTCCATTTGTCTTATTGGTGCTTCCTTCTATAAAAAACTTACCTTTTACTGGTTCATGGTTTTATATTATTTATTTTATATAATAGTTTTGTAATAATATTGAAAAAAAAAAGACTTCCTTGCAATTATTTAAAAAAAAAATTTTTTCTTTCTAAAAACTTCGACCGTGCTCCAGTCTTGGAATAGTTTGTACTTGAGTTTACCCAGTTCTAGCAATATTTAGACTTATAATTGGTCTTAAAACTTTTCAAAAATGAAGCATTATTTTCTAGATCTAGATTACGAAGCCATTCTTTTCAATTTTTTTTATTAAGTAGTTTTATTAAGTATGTTTGCGTGAATGAGTACTGTATAACAAACACATTTTAAGTCAAGCAAGGACGATATAGAATTGTAGAACTTACTCGATAAAAAATGCAAGAATAACTGATGACAATGATGACGCAAGGCAATAAAAATCCCAAAACAAATAAGAATTTCTTGGGACTTGATCCGTTTTTCTTCAAAATGGTGCAGGAGAAAGTTTTTTCTTTATAACCAAATTCACCCCAAGCTCCAGCCAGGGTTGGCGTTAGCATCAAGAAACTGAAGAGCCAACAGAAAGCTATCATCAAAGCTATGAACTTTCTTTGGTAGATTTTGTCATAGTACTTATAATGGTTGATCAGAATATACCTAACAAAAATTAAAGGAAGAAAGAAAATCAATCTGTATTGTTGTATATTTATCTCGTTCTACGTAAATTATGTATTTATATCAAAATTATTATACATTTTAATTAAAAATTCAATAATAACCACAATTTCCATAGAGTTATGCAGGGAGCGTAGCCAGATTTTTCAACAAAAAATAAGCACCTTTTAAGTAACTTTTTAAGCTCTAAAAAAATATTTTTAATCACTTTCCAAAGAAAAAAAAATCGTAATTAGGATCTGCACAGTAATAAAAATTCTTCTTCACTTTAATATTAAATAGTGACACCTAATTTATGTAATTTTATTTTTGGCAGGAATACAAAAATTATAAGTGATGGGTAGACATTGCGGAATATACTGTAAAATATTTTGTAAATAATGATACAAAATTTTTATAATTCTAAAATTTTGACTTTATTTTGATTATGATATTTTACTGTTATCATAAATTTTAGTGTTAATGAATCAAGAATTTTATAAAAGCCTTCTTGGCCTTTCACTATACTAGGTGTAGTGAAACATCAAAAATCAAGAGTTATCACTATACTAGGTGCAGTGAAACATCGAGAATCAAGAGTTATCACTATACTAGGTGTAGTGAAACATCAAAAATCAAGAGTTATCTAAGCTGTTTCATTATACCAATTGGTGGAAAATTGTTGACTCTATTTTTTGTCTTAAGATACTTTAAAAACTTTTAAAGTATGTACATATGACCTTTTATCTCAAATTATTTCCAAACATACAGGAAGCGTTCCTCAAAACTAATTGAAAATTTTCTTTTTTTCCCCCACAAAAACTACGACAAAATACTAGCAAACAGTTTTTTTTGAACATTCTTAGTCTGTTAAGAACTGCTCTAATCTCTCTCTATATATATATTATAATACTCAACAAGTAATTTTTCCAATCCATCATTCAATTCATACAATACATTATAAAAAGTTTAAATCTGATCTGCGATCACAAACGTGAAAATCGTGAACATTTAACTCTTCAAAATCTATCACTGTTATTCTAGTTGTTTTCTCAAATCACAGTTTGGTTTTTTCTTTTTTCTGTTACAAATCATTAACCTTCTAGAGTTCTTCGACCGGCAGCTTGTTATAGTAAACAAACGGCGCTTCTATCCACAAAAGCGGAAAAATGCGATCTATGGGGCAGAAAATAATCGCGTGTGATGGTCTCTGCTTGTTAACTCCCCCTATTATGCAAGAGCACGATTATTCTTTTGTTATCATCTTCTCTTTCCGGGTTGGTCCCCTAAGGGGTTGGTATGACAAGTCACGATATGACTATGGCCAGCTATGACTCAACATGCGAGAAGGGATGGGGGGTTATTAAAAATACATATATCAGGCTACCTTGTCCTTTGAAGATACGGCAAAGATAGCTGTAAATATGGGTTTTAAAAAATTCTTGAGATTAAAAGCCCAAAAAATTTTGATATCTTTGTTAGTGCTTGTCAATAGCATTTAAAGTAGTGCAGAGTGCAAATTGTTCTTTTCAGATATCAGATTTAGAATTATATGGTTAACGTTTGGAAGGGTAACTCAAAATCTCACTCTCAGAAATCTCGGTTAGACGTTGAGATAAAAATATCGGTATTTTGAACCATAAAGTCATATAAGTTTTGCTGTAACCTTAATAAGGTGTTAAACTGAACCCTATTCAGTTTAAGTTACTAATACTCGTCAAGAGCATTTGAAGAAAGCAAACTATAAATTGTTCGATTCAGATATCAGTTTTAGAATTAAATGGCTATAACGTTTGAAAGAGTAATAGTTCCTTATACTACGTGCTACGTTAATAGATTAAACGTTGGTCCATAATAATAGTACCTTGAGGCACAATACTGTTTAATTTATTGCAGCCTTCACTAAGTGTTAAATTGAACCTCACATCAGTTCTGGTTGAATCATATCATAGCATAACCATGTTACCATGTTTAAATAGGATTAATTTGCACGCTAATGTGGTTGCAATAAATTTGTTTAATCTAAAGGTTAAACATCAACAAGCTGAATTTCTTAAGTGCATTTTTAATTTTTGTAGAGCATATTCAATATATTCTACAAACGAAAATTTCGATAATACAAACGCAGTTTGCGTTACTACAAACGCGGTTTTTCCCTTATTTATGTTTCCTATATTTCGTCCAACAGGATTCATGAGTTTTAATCTTTCAAATCAGAGTAATTTTTGGGTCTTTAATTTATTTCCCTTCTTTTTCTTTATTCCTTTTTAAAACGAGATTATAAAATCGAACAAAAATTAAATTCAACACGTGCATTTAAGAAAGAAAGAAATTCCACATAAAAATATTTGGCAAATTTGTTTTAAAATAAATACCGTAATTTATAACTTCTAAAACTGGAAAAATAATTTATTGAAACATAATATTCGAAATGAAAGAATAGTATATAAATTAGGGGAAATAGTGTATGAATTATTATTAACGAAACAACTTTGAGAAGAATACATTTTCAAACAAAGGAATAAATTTTTGACAATCAGATGAAAAATTCTTGAAGAACCAAAATTTCTTTTAAGTTACCTTTTTTATTTTTATTTTCTAATATCGGCATTGCTGGGGACAATAGCATTTAACTTCGATTTTGTAATGAATCCATTTTGGCAGACGCATGTTTTAAATTGTTTTCATTTATTAATTTCATTTTTTAGAGTGATTCCTTTCCAGAGTATTGTATTGAAAATCCGTAGATCTTAAAAATGAATAAACATTAGTCTCTTACCTATTAATAGTTATAGCTGTCATAGACATCAAAGAAGCTGCCACATTTCCATAGAAGAAAAACGGAAATAGTTTGCATAAGGTATCTCCAAGTATCCAGCCTTGGTTGATGTATCTAAAAAAAACACAACAAACAATGACATAAAATGTATAAAAAATGATGTCGGAAGTACAAGCTGGTAATGCCATCAGCAATTTGAAAAAGTCTTAAAATTAAGTATAATAATTAAGTGTTATAATAGGGAGATTTGCAAAGCGTTACGTTTTCCCTTAATTCAAACGTTAACGTTGCTGAACTTTACAGTACATGCGTGAAAATTTCCCCACAAACCACAGCAATCCTAAGATGTAGAAAATTAGGTAACGTTTCAGTTAACAAAACGCACACTTTATTCAAAATATCTCTATGGTACCGTAAGGTAAGTATATAAATATTAAATAATTTAAAAAAACACACACAACTGATTTTAATTTATTTTAATAGTGCATGCAAGATAATTGTTGTAACAAAGTGACGAAATATGTTTCTGAACAAATATTTAATAGTGATTGGATGAATATAGAATTTAATAGCACAAGAATCAGAACGATATGGTTATAATACCTCAAACATTAACTATATTTAGCTTCAATGGTGCTTTAAACTAAGACTGACGGGAAAATAAAATTGAGAAACAGACAAAATAAAGGGAAATGACACTAGAGGGCCTCGTATCGGAGTTGTGGAATCAGTATTGCGTATAAAAGGGTTATCTCTGAGAGAAATATTTAGAAGGGAAATTCAGAACAAGGCAAATAATGAATCCTTATCTTAAAAGTAGATTAAATATAATTAGAAATGCTTCAGAAATTTAAATCTATCAGTAGCGGTTGTTGTTTCCTTACACAAATAAATAGAAATGTAATGTGACTTTACAATATCAACTAAGGCAGTAGCGTTGGAGTTTTAAGTTCTGAACTCGAAAGAGCTATACAAAATAAGATAAAACTATATAGGTAAATTTAAAAGAAAGCTATTTTACTTACAGAAACAAATTATTTGCGTAGATAAATTTTAAAAATAAATATTATGATGTTTATTATTAAAACATTAAAGCGATTAAAGAAGATTCATTTACATAAAAATTATGATAATACAAAAAGATATTATAATAATTTAACAAAAACTAAGATATTACATGTGTAACCCTAGGAAACTGCGGAAAGATATTATTGATGATAAAAACTTCATAGGCTTAAAAAAAATTAGAAAAATGGTTATAAAAACAGACATGTTCCGAGCTCTCAAAAATAGGTTTCCATTTTCAAGACCCAGGAAGGAGCCCATTTTTTTTCTATTTTTGAGGGCTTAAAAATTGACGACTTATATTACTATCTTCATTTTTTTTTAAGAGAATGAAGTTCTTATCATCAAGTATAAAAACTTCGTTGTAGGTAAAAAGGACCCATTTAAATAAAAAATTATGATACTTAAAATTAACTAAGTTTATTGAATAAAAACTTACTTAATATAAAAGGAACTATGTGACCATAATGTTTATGATGAAATCCTATAGTGTACATTCATAGTGCATTTTTATATGCATTGACCATTGAATGCACATGTATTTCATCTGTAAACCATGTGTTCCATAATTTAAATAAAGTTGGTTAATAACAAAAGGGTTGCATTGAAAGAAAAAAATTTATTTGCGGAGTTTGGTAAGTAAGTTGGGGTTAAATAAAAAAAAAAAGGGAAACCCTTTATTTTATCAAGTTAAAAATTTAAGCAGTTTTTTTGCTTTAACATTATAATACTTTAGTGACTGTATTAATACACATTAAAGCATTTTGAGCAAATCATGCTGCACGCGAAATCATTAAGAAAGTGGGATTAATTTTATGATCTTTAGTGTGGCTTGTTTTATGACCTCTTTAAAAAGCCACAACCATTAAACGAAAGAGAGTGAGAGTTTCAAATGTATCAAAAAGTCACGTAAAAATTATAGTCATAAAAATTCAAGCTTCTTGTAGTCATCAACAGTGGCGGAACAAATGATAGTCTTTATCGCTGGACTATCTTTAAGACTAATCTTTCCCAGGATTATAATTGATGTTCGTTTAAATAACTGATATGGTTGATATTCGAGAATAGAAAAGAATGAATAATGTGATATATACATAAATGAATGAATGAAATGACGCATATAAACTATTTTTACCCTCTAGTACTGTAAATATGGTTACCCAGTAGGCTTCAAAAATTAGTAGCAAGTTTAAAGCTTAGCATACATTAAAAATTTCATAATCTTCTAACAAACTATGACACCTATAACTATAAATACCATTCCCTTTGAACCCTGGTAGTCAAATTCAGATTGTAGCGTACATAAAAACTATTTTAACCCTTAAACGTACACACAGGACTACAAATATCACGCCCTTCGAAAATTGGAGGCGAAGATGGACGGTAAAAATGGATCCTCAAATTTCACGAAACTTTCTTCTTTTATTACGAAAACGTTTCCTGATATATGCTCCGAGCGAACATTACGTCAAAGTGACGAGATAACTATCATCGCTTCTTCGAGGAAACGAATTTAGTCAAAAGTTAGGAAATATTTCGTCATTATAGTTTCGATCCTTTATAGTTTACCTATACAAAGAACACCTCTCGCCATTCGTCTGGAGCAGTGGCGGTACCTACGGTTACGAGGTTTAACTTTTTCAATAAAGGGTGTTAGGTCAATATTTATTACAAGTTTGGGTTCGGTTCGTCGAGAGGAAGGGAATCGGGGAAGAGACTGCGCCCCGCTTTGAAATGTTGCTATTTCTTGTTTCCATAGCAGCTAGCGGCTTTAGACTTTGCAACGAGGGGAATTCTTTCGAAATACAAATTACAGTTTTTATTCCAGTTTCGTCTTTTTATTTAACAATCTCTCACGATGCACTGCGATGAAGTTCCCAGTGGAGAATACATTTTCGTCATATATTTGAGAGTTCGCGCTTCGTCGCAAATTACGCGATATCGTGAAGAAATGATTATCAAAATTAACAAAATACAACACAAGGATGGATCGTCAAAATTGAGAGCTTCATTTCTAAGAGTGTGAGGCTTATATAAAAACTATTTTTAACCTCAAGACTATTTACATCCTTTCCTTCAAATACTGGCTGCCAAAACAGACAATTTGACTTAAATAAAAACTGTTTTACTTTAATGTTCTAACAAACACCCAGAACATCTATAACATACTTTAAAAATTTGAAGTAAAGGTGAAAATTTAGCATTTTATATCCGTTGTTGAACAGCCGACCCAATTTTAGGGCTTACGACTACTAATGTTCAACTCCGTTGTTTTGTAATTTTGAACTAATCCAGAAGACAAGGAAACTCTTGGATCAGTACCCCTAGAGGTATTGATTTGTTATGAGAACATGGAGGACTTTGCGACTCGACAGATTTAACGTGAATCAGTCACCATTTTACTACACAGGAGTCTTCGGCCGGCGGGGATCGAACCCACGAACTCTTGGACATGGGCCCAGAGCCCTATTAACCAGACTATTTCGGCCCTAAAATTTCGCATTTGTAAAAATTCTTAACCTTCTAACGTACACCCAGAATCTTAAATATCACCCTCTTCAAAAACTGGTTGTCAAATTGACAATTTAGCGCACATAACTATTTCAACTCTCAAACGTATGCCTTGGATTATAAATATCTTGACCTTAAAGAACTTTTAACCTAGTAGGAAAAATAAAGTATAAAAAAACTGTTTCAATGTTTTGACATACTCTTAAGACTAAATTTCATACCCTTCAAAAACTGGTTGTCAAGTTGAGAATTTAGCATACATAAAATTATTTTAATCCTTAAGCGTAGCAGCATAAATACCGTGCTCTTTTAAAAAACAAGTAGATCAAATTGACATTTAACGCACGTAGAAACTACTTTTCTTTAATGTTATAACAAACACTTTGGATGATAAATATCCTACTACATAAGTATACTATACATACCCTTCAAAAAGTGGTTGCTGAGAATTTAAAATACATGAAAACTACTTTTTTATTTAAACTTATAAAATTGCTCGTGAAGTTGGGAATTTAAACTATTCCTCGTAACTGACAGCCGAAACGCAATGGTGATCACATTACCATCATCATGATGCTGGTCTCGAAATTGTGGATTCGTAACCTCAATGACCTTATCATGGCAGACTACTGGCATGTACTTAACAGATACATACAGACTCTAATTACACCAAATATTAGAATTCGCCTTATTGCAAATCAATTTTTAGAAAATGAATTATAAATCTTTAAGTTACCTTGAGGCAGTCGGTGGTAAGTTGAGAGCACAAAACAGCAAATCCGCTGTACACAGACTGATGACAAATGCTGTGGTGGCATTTCGAAGTTTCTGACATTTGCTCAGTGCCAAGATGGTGACCAAATTGCCGAAGAGGCCGAATATGATGAAAAAGATGCAACAGACGGCAGCAAATAGGGTGATCACTCGTGAATATTCCTGTGGTGAAGCTATGATGGATGTAGAATTGCTGTCCTGCGTCACGCTTCCAGATTCCACAGATTGGTTAGCTGAGAGGAGGTACGTCACATCATCCATGTTTGGTCAACTTTTCTGTGGAAGAAAATGAAGGCAATTGAATTTAGTTTATCAAGAACTATCATAAAATTGTATTTTAACCCCTTTAGGACTATGATCTTCACAGCCCACCGTATCTTACGATCTCACTGGCTCTAGAGATCACACCGAAGTGATCTCAATACGTTTTTCTCGTATTACATCTCGTATTAGTACTTATAAGTACTCTTTAGTACAAATAAACTCGAAGTTTGTGTGCCTGAGAAAGCGCTTTTTTCTCCATCTGCAGGTTCTAATGGGGTTGAAGTCAAATAATTTTGGTTTTACACTATATGAGCAATTTATAGTTAGTTCAAGAATGTCACAAAATGTAAGCAAACGGAAACTTATGCATGGAGGAGCTCGATGCAAGAACAGATAGTGTGGTTACAATAAAATTAGCTTTCAGTCAGGTTAACAGCCGTTCAAATGTACATAAGCACTGATAGGGGAGGAAGGAGTTGTGATTTGCTTATTTTTTGCTTATGAGCGGAATGGAGGGACATGAGCAAAGCTTACGTAAAACACTTAAATCTCCCTTCCTCTTTTGAAATGTGAAATAAATAAAATAAAATAAAAAAAATACACCAGAAAGAATTTCAAATTTGGAATAAAACTTGAATTCAAAAAAAGAAAAAGTTGGACAAAAATTATTCGATTTAAAATAGCAACAACAAAAAAATAACGTCACACAATTTATTCAAAAATAAATTTCGTAACGTTTTTTTTTTTTCCTGCAAAGTTGCCTCTTCTGTTTGAATCGAATACAAAAATTCTTAAAATTAGATACAGAAAAAAACCAAAGTTAAAACAAAATACAATGGAGATTTCCGTTAGCTTATTTTTGCGGAAAAGAAGAAAGGGAAGTTTATAAGTGCCATAAATATGCTTACGTAATATTTGAACGGTTCTCTTCTCTCAGCTAAGCCTTGAGCGTGTTTTGTGATACCCCAGCTAGCAAATTCAGATTAGAACTGGTGTCACATTAGTGTCCAGTCGGTTTTTGAACTTACTGTAACTGTACTGACCTCAGCAAAAGAGAAAAAAAAGAAAAGAAAAAAAAACGTTACAAATTAAAATTTTGACATACCCGGTTCTTGCAATAAGCTCCCCAATTTGTAATTGCAATCCAAACTCCGGTTTAAATTTGGCACAACAATGATAACATTCGATGTAACTTAATTTTATACAACTAAGAAGATAAGATGTTAAAAGAAAACAAAAATATTTTTTAAAAAACATTAATACAAATTAAAAACAAAAAATAAGTAATATCAAAAAAATTCTCCGAATACTTATTACAGTATAAAAATAAAGTCTTTCGTAACAGTATTAGATATTTCTAAAAAGGACATGCTTACTTGGGAATAAAATGATAAATTTTCTATGCCTGAATCATCAAATACCTTTTAAAGAAGTTTATACTTAACTTAATGGTATTCTCGTTTTGAAACTTTTTTTTGAAATAAGAAATGACGAAAATAAACTCTTTCAAGGATATCATCTGGTGTACACACAAAAGAAGAAGAAAAAAAGCAGGAATTTCAAAATTGAGTCACGAAAAGTCAGCTTATTGAAAACCCGCCATTGAATAAAAGATGAAAGAAGAAATTCCAGGGAGATTCACTAATCTTGACTACTAAATTTTATATAATACAGCTTATTCATACAATGAAATATCTTGACGACTTCCGGATTTCAGAATTAAAAAATATATATTTTGAATAGATCGATCTTTTTTATTCTGGGGGGGGGGGTGAGTGCTGACATGAAATCAATTCATATTATTACATCCCTACTCAATAAAACTTCCACTCCAACTATAAAAAATATTGGATATCAATCATTAGTTCCAAAGAGTCATTTTAAAATAAACAGTAATTATTTTCTTTTTTTTCTGTCTCAATAAATTACTGTTCACTTACATAAGAAAAATATTAATTTGAATAAAAATATTAATTAGAATATATAAAAATTATACTTCGATCAGATAAAGATAGGACTTAAATGCTATAATGATGTAAGGCGAATTTTGTTGAAATGCTGGAGCTATTGTTGTTTCATAATAACTCGAGGCCATTATAAATATAATATGATTTTTTAACAAAAATAACACTAAATAACATATAAATAAATGCCCTTTTTTTTCTCAGTAGAATAAATTGCTTTTAAAAACATCTATTTTTTGAACATATACGTTTTATTTATTTTATTTTATTTTTGCTGTAAAAATATCACTCACTGTTCAGAAACTAATACTTATAATGGTACTATTAGTATTTATAATTTTTATTGTTTTTTGACCAAGTTAAATTATTTCCAGCGAAATTTTTTAACTCTTTTATGTTACAGATTTTATTTAAAAGTTTTAGTTAAAATTATAACTGAAAAATAATAAGTTCACAAATATAAATGAATAGTGAAGTTTAATTCTTACATAAATTTACCATCAGCTCAATAAGTTTTAAAATTGAAAGTAAAATGTTTGACTCTTTGTAAAGAAGAAGAAAAAAATCGAAAAATTTCATATCTTTAATAACTTTTTTAAATTTGATCAACCCAGAACTAAAGACGAATTGGTTAAAAAAAAAAACTATCTCAGTACAGAAATTTTTTTTATTTCTGTCTTATAAATACATATGTTATTACGAATAATATTGATAACTAATATAATTTAAATTAATTACTTCTAACTATGTTTCATTTTAATGACATTTAATAACAGTTCTATATAGATTCTAGATCTTTTAAAAGTTGACAGTTATGTTAGCTGTTAACGTGGAACCATTGAGATAGTGATAAAAATGCGAGCATTAGATTGAATAATAATAATAATCTGATTTCTTCAACTCATTCTGCATCAGTCTTTCTTACAATATCTATTTCATACTGCAGTATCCACAATATTTATTTCACAATATCTATTACAGATAATCTATTTATTAACTATATCTAATATTGTAAAATAGATATTTTACAATATTCATTTTTCAATATCTATCATCGGTTTATTTATAACATCTATTTTATAATAGCTCACAGCCAATATGAATTGCATTAAAAAGTCCATTAAAAAAACTTACTCAGAATCAATACTAACAGTTCATTTGGTCGTATAGACCAAATCTATTAATTCACATCACAGATTTTTTTCTTAAATAAATAAAATTAAAAAAAAAGGTTCGTTCAATTATTTTAAGCATGTGAAAAAGTTAACTAATGTCTTTTTATATTTCGCAATGAACAAATGGAGCAGATCTATCAAGCTACTCAACAGGTTTTGAAATATAATGAACTAATAGTTAGTTCAGAACCTACATAATATGAAAAATAAGGTTAACTCCAAAAAACTTAAACAACATCTTCACTTCAACAATATTAACTGCCTGATTGATCTTGTATACTCAAAACTCAAATCCATTTATTCACACGACAGTTTTTTCCTTCTTTCTTTTTTTTTTTCTAAAGAAAAATAAAAGAGAAGCAGATTTGCTATGTAACTTCAAGCATGGTAATGAAAACACCAACTAATGTCTTTATAAATCTTTATTTCTTTCTTTAATGATTCAGTTGGAAAAAAAAGGGAGTCGATTTTTAAGGATGGTAAACAGGTTTTAAAATAGCTCAGTTTGAAAGCTTTAGCTTAAAAGTAATTCGAATTATTCGTAGTTTCATGTTACCATATGTCCGTTTTAATAGACATTTCAGTTTTTTTTAAAACTCAGATAATGTTTTTTTTAAATGTCAATATAGATATTTATAATTAAATTTCTTTTTATTAAACAGAACAGGGCTGTCAAGGTTGAATTTTAAATTGACCATGGTTAACCTCTTCAGAAAAAGTAACTTAATCAAAACAGCATCTCCAGTTAGAACAGACTTCATTTTGTAAAAATATTGAAATATGTTTCGTAATTGCAGCATTCGTATTTCTTTTTTAAAATAAATGAGCTGAAATGATAAAATTCTAATGTTTGTTTTTCATGATGTTTTTATTTATTTATTTATTTACTTATTTTTTCACGATTCCCACTGAAACGTTAAATGAAAGGTTTCCAACCATTTTACCTACACAAAACTTCACACCACTTCATAAATTTAAAATTTTAATTATAACTTTTCATAAATTAAATAAATTTAAAGTATTACTTAAAATATTTTTTTTCTCCAATGCCCGCCTGGGGAATGACCTTCCGTCAATACAGGCATCTGAAAGGTAGATTTGATGGCCACTCTCCTTCAGGGACACCATATTAGGTGGGCCAATACTGCTGCCACTGTAAGGACAGATAGTACAGAGAATGAAAGAACATCCATGCCTTGCCCGGGATTCGAACACAGAACCTTTCTTATGCCAGGCCAGTTCCCTGACCCCTACACAGTCCGATCGGCATGTATACTCTCTTTACATCCATAGTATCCCCAAGAGGTTTTGAGCACGCTGATTGGATTTCTCGGCAACGCCTTCTGTGACGTACGGATATTTCATTCTGCCATGTTTGTTTTTCAGCATTGAGCTCAAAATATCTTGGGAATACTGTAGATGTAAAGGAAGTTTACATGTGTCCGGTCGGCTGAAAAAAAAATATTTAAAATATGATATAAAAATTTAGGTAAGATCGTAAATAACGATATCAAATAAAAATATCAATTTCTGCATGATCTTAATATTACTTGTAAAATATTTTATATAAGAACATTTACAATCAACACATTGTCTGTTGACAATTTAAGCTAACGCAAATTTGTCGATATGTAGCTACAACCCCAAACTAACAGTTTTCGTATTGAATACGCATTTTCTAAATACGTATTTTCTGAATACGTGTATTTTGATACATTAAATACGTATCTTCTGATTACCTATACAGGGTTATTCATAATTCCCTTCACCTGTAAACGCCATTTTTCTTTACAACTGGCTTCAGTGGTACATGTTACTGCCATCTACCGGCAACTACTTAAATTAAAACTTGAATACTTTCGGAATAATTTAA